AAATATTTTAAGGTAAGTAATGAGTGTACTATATGTGTATTTTACTTTTTTATTGTTTTTAATGCCTAGTTCTATTGTTAACTTAATATGTTAGTGTAAACTTATCTAGTATTTCTATGCATTTATAAGTGGGAAAAAAAGGGTGTTCCACTTTATGGCAATTTCTGCTTTACGGTGGTAGCCTGGAACCTAACCTGCTGTATAAGTGGGGCCCTACTGTATATTGGTTGTTTAACATATAGATGGGGTTGTAAAAGAAGTAAATTTCTAGAATGTTGGGGAGAGGGGTGAAATTAAATTATGGGGAATCAAATATAAAATGGGAGTTGACAGTTACTTTTTGCTGATGATACTGTGCTTTTGGGAGATTCTAAAGAAAAGTTGCAAAGGTTAGTGGACGAGTTTGGGAGGGTGTGTAAAGGAAGAAAATTGAAAGTGAACATAGATAAGAATATGGTGATGAGGGTATCAAATGATTTAGGTAAAGAAAAATTGGATATCACATTGGAGGGAGGAAGTATGGAAGAAGTAAATGTTTTCAGATATTTGGGAATTGACTTCTCAGCAGATAGGTTTATGAAGGATGAAGTTAGCCATAGAATTGATGAAGAAAAAAAGGTGGGTGGTGCTTTGAGGTATCTGTGGAGACAAAAAAAACGTTATCCATGTTGGCAAAGAAAGGAATGTACAAAAGTATAGTAGTACCAACACACTTATATGGGTGTGAAGCATTGGCTGTATATGCTGCAGTGAGGAGGAGGTTGGAGGCAGTGAAGATGTTGTGTCCGTGGGCAATGTGTGGTGTAAATATTGTGCAGAGAATTCATAGTGTGGAAATTAGGAGGAGGTGTGGAGTTACTAAAAGTATTAGTCAGAGCACTGAGGAGGAGTTGTTGAGGTGGTTTGGTCATTTAGAGAGGATGGAACAAAGTAGAATGACTTTGAGAGCATATAAATCTGTAGTGTAAGGAAGGCGGGGTAGGGGTCGTCCTAGGAAAGGTTGGAGGGAGGGGGTAAAGGTTTTGTGTGCAAGGGCTTGGACTTCCAGCAAGCATGTGTGAGCATGTTAGATAGGAGTGAATGAAGATGAATGGTTTTTTGGGACCTGATGAGCTGTTGGAATGTGAGCAGGGTAGTGTTTTGTGAAGGAATTCAGGGAAACTGGTTAGCCAGACTTTGAGTCCTGGAGATGGCAAGTATAATGCCTGCACTCTAAAGGAGTGGTTTGGGATATTGGCTGTTTGGAGTGACATCTAAACTGTCGTATCTGACCGCCTCTGTAAAGACAGTGATTATGTATGAGTGATGGTGAAAGTGTTGAATGATGAAAGTTTTTTTTCTTTCTCTTTTGGGTCACCCTGCCTTGGTGGGAAGTGGCCGACATGTTAAAAAAGGAAAATAATATTGTGATGCTTTAAAAATTGAATATCTAATTAAAAGGTAGCATCATATATTTAAATATTTACAAAAATAATTTTTTTTTTTTCCAACAAGTCGGCCGTCTCCCACCGAGGCAGGGTGACCCAAAAAAGAAAGAAAATCCCCAAAAAGAAAATACTTTCATCATCATTCAACACTTTCACCTCACTCACACATAATCACTGTTTTTGCAGAGGTGCTCAGAACACAACAGTTTAGAAGCATATACGTATAAAGATACGCAACATATCCCTCCAAACTGCTAATATCCCGAAACCCCTCCTTTAGAGTGCAGGCATTGTACTTCCCATTTCCAGGACTCAAGTCCGGCTATATAAACATAACTGGTTTCCCTGAATCCCTTCACTAAATATTACCCTGCTCATACTCCAACAGATCGTCAGGTCCCAAATACCATTCGTCTCCATTCACTCCTATTGAACACGCTCATGCACGCCTGCTGGAAGCCCAAGCCCCTTGCCCATAAAACCTCCCTTACACCTTCCTTCCAACCTTTTCGAGGACGACCCCTACACCGTCTTCCTTCTCCTACCGATTTAAATGCTCTCCATGTCATTCTACTTTGATCCATTCTCTCTAAATGACCAAACCATCTCAACCCCTCTTCAGCCCTCTCACTAATACTTTTATTAACTCCACACCTTCTCCTAATTTCCACACTCCGAATTTTCTGCATAATATTTACACCACACATTGCCCTTAGACAGGACATCTCCACTGCCTCCAACCGTCTCCTTGCTGCTGCATTCACAACCCAAGCCTCTAACCCATATAAGAGTGTTGGTACTACTATACTATACTAAAATTAAATGTATTATTTTGATATATACTGTGTTCAGTATATAAATTCAAAAGTGGAACATTTTGGGTTAATGATGCCTTATTTCCTAAAGTCAGTCAGCAACTTCTCACATCTGCTTTTGTTTGAAATTTAGAGTATTTTTCAGTTTCTTAGGATTCTTTTTTTATTATTAAACATTGATACAGAGGTCTACATATGTTTTAGCCAGATTTATTACCTGTACATTTAATTGTAGTTTCCATTGTTTGTCTGTTTCAGACACTATACGGTGATAAGGCACTAGCATCTGCTCAAGAAACAGATTCTCAGACCCCAAACAAGAACAACAACAATTTATTTCAGACATCTGATAATGTTGTTAAACAAAATGACTGTGAAAAAATATTAAAGAAAAGTAAGGAAACCGTTAATTCTAAATTGAAGTCCAAATTGCCTGCCTTACAAAGTATTGAAATTGCTCAAGGTAAACCAAATTGTAAAGTTGCAGCAAATATAGGGAAACGAATAAGTAACGTTGATTCTGGAATGGTTAAGAAAAGAAATGTGAAGTCACTGAATATTTCTCATTCTTGTATTCTCAAAAAACAGGAAGATGTGGATGAAAGAAAGATAAAAGTACCTAATGCAAATTCACAAAAATGTTGCCCTTATGATGTGAAAAACAAGACTAATGTGAATTCACAGATATATTGCATTAATGATGTGAACAACAAGAAAGAAAAATGTACAAGGAAAGTAGTATCAGACTTGAACACTAATGAGGGGCAGCAAGGAGTGATTAAGGCAAAGAAACACACCAATGATAATTTTAAGGTGAATAGAAAAAGTAAGCCAAAAATGGAAGGGATTTTGGGTTTGAATATTGATGAGCTACAAATAGTGGTTAAGCCAAAGAAAAAGGAGGAGCTACATGGTGTGAAAGCAAAATTGAAAAGCCAAGTGAGTAACACAGATACTGTTGAGTTAGAGAATGATAGAAATATGGAAATAGAAATGGATGTAAATATTCCAGAGACACAAGTGGTTGCTAAGGCAAAGAAAAAGAAGAAAATGGTGGGTATAACAGGAAATGAGGGCAAACACACCAGCGGCATGGATTTTGAGAGAGACAAGAAAGGAAATGTGAAAGTGGAAAATTATTCTTGTTTAAATGGTCATGAGGCACAAGAAAAGGTGGTGAAGATGAAGAAAAGGTTACACGATACAAAAACAGATAAAAATGCAAGCACTGTAGATATTTTGGATAAAAATATTAATGTAAACTTGGAAAAGAATTTCTATTTGGACATTGGTGAGATGCAGCTTGAAGAGTTAAAGACAAAGAAGAAGAAGAAAACACAGTCTGTTGCGATGGTAACAAGGGTGAAAAGCACAAATGACATAGATTTTGGGACAGACAAGAAAGCAAGAAAGAAAGTAAAAGAAGACAAAGAGCAAGAAGTGATGAAAGTACAGAAAATGAAGAACTTGCAGAATATGACAGTAAACATGGGAAAACACACAAATGACAATGACTTTGGCTTAGGCAGGAAAAGCAGCATGATAGAGGGAAAAAATTCTGTTGCAGAGAGTCACAAAGCACAGCAAAAGGTGGCTAAGGCAAAAACAAATAAAAAGATATCTGATTTTGGAAGAGAAAACACAAAAAATGTGATAAAAGAAAATTTCTGTTTAAAGGGTCATGAGTTACAGGAAGAAGTGGTAAAGGTAAAGAAAATGAGAATAGTGCATGAAATGGGAAAATTTGTTAATCATGTGAATGTTTGGAGAGAGAAGAAAGACAATGTTAAAGTAGAAAAGATTTCTTGTTTTGAAATTCAGAACACTTCACAAGAAGTGGTTAAAACAAAGAAAAGAAAAGAGATGGCAAAATTAAAAAAAAGCAATATAAGAGTCGGAGAGATTTCTGGTACAGGTGTTCATGAGACACAAAAGGTAGTCATCACAAAGAAAAAGAAAAGTGATGAAAATGCTGAAAATGACATGAAAGGAAAAGCAAAAGTGGAAAATATGACTGATTTAGACAGTAATGAAATGGATCAGTTTGGAAAAGCAATGAAAACAGAGCAATTAGGAAGAACATTGAAAAGGAAACTATTACTTGACGCTAAGAAACCTGTAAAACAATTAAAGTTTTCTTATGGCTGGGAAGTGTGTGATAAAAAGGTGAGTACAGGAGTGGAGAATGTGATTAAAATGAAACAGTTGAAAACTTTAGAGAGAGATTACTTAAAAGAGTATCCTGATTCAGTCAAAAAGAAAGGAAAGATTAATGTAAAAGAAGATACAGAGAACAGTTTGGCTGTAAAGAGCAAGTGTAGGAAACATAAGAATATAGAAACTACAGTTAGTAACAAAGAAGCTGGTGTTTTTGCTGAGAACTCAGGTCTTGTAAGTTTAAATAAAGAAGCAAATTCATATGCTTCAAATCTTTGTGTGTCAAAGAACATTTCAGTGGCTGCTGGACAAACAGAAAAAAGTCTAGTTCAGAATAAGGGCAGCATTTATTCAGGACTTAACATTAGAACCCCTAGTGATCAAATACAGCATTCAAGAACTGCAGTTGTTAAACCCGAAGTGAAATTTAGTGATCAGCCAACAATGGAAACAAAGATACATTTTCAAACCAGAGAGAGAAGACTTAATTGTGAAAGGGGTCTGATATATAGGAAAACAAAGCGTGAATTAACCAACATTCGTCAGAGAAAAAGAAGGAATGCTATTAATTTCACAGTCACAAATTTAGAGCCAAAGATGCCTCAGAGCCATTTAAATATTAAATCTGAATATACAAAGAAAGATGATAAACAGATTGAAAAGAATAGGAAGGACACATCACTGAAAACAAAAACAGTTTCTCCAGCTGTTGCATATTCTGTTAAATTATCTGATGAATTTGAAGGTGACTGTAAAATTCCTTGTTTGTTACAAAGCTATGATATTGAAGTGCTTGATGAATCAGGTACCAATATGAGTAATGCATTTAATGATTTAGGTTTTAGAAGTGATACAGTTAGTGAAGTGGATAGATGTATGAAAGAATATCTGGGTAAAGTGAAAAACTGTGAAGTAGCAGATGAACTGGGCTTCAAGGATAGTGACCCTTGGAACTGCTTCAAGTTAAGAGAAAATCAGAGTGAAATAAAAAATGAGTTGGACAGTAGTAGAGCCATTAGTGACTCTGGTGATGTTGGTAAATTGGAAAGTCAGTTGGCAACAGTTACAATGGAAAATGATTGGGTATCTGACTGTTTTGGTAGTGAAGAGGGGAAAAACTCTGATACTTTTCTAAGCAAAAATGATTTTGGCAAATTATTCAACGAGATTGATCCATCTGACAAAAAAGAAATGAGGTCAAGTGAAGTTGGAGAGGTCAGTGCTGTGGTAACCTCCAAGAAAAATTCTACTCCATCTGCTGTGTGCCCTGAAAATTCTGACTCTGATATAGAAATACTTACGGAAGAAAGTTTAAAGACATCCAAGTCTTCACTGTCACTTACTTTCCATGATGCATGTGATGTTGATGAGGCATCAGGGTCAGATAGTGATATTGTTCCTTGTGATGAAGAAACAAAAATGTTCACTGATGAAGAGATCAAAAGTTACCACACCAAGCTTAAGGATGCTGTAATACAGAAAAAAGTTGAGGATATATTGAAAGAAGATGAGAAAGAACTGAAAATGAAGCTGACAGAGGATAAAAAAATGAATGTCACAAATACAGAAGGAAGAGAGAAAAATAAAGACAAAAGCAGGCACCAAGAAACTATTAAGAAACCAAAGGCGGATGCTTCTGGTGATTTAGTCAGCCAGATGATAAACAAGCTCTACAAGACTTCTTCGGAGAAGAAAGACGAGGAGTTAAAGGAGCACAGCTGCCATGAGCCTGACAGTGAAGATGACATTGAGATCATCTTGCAGACAATTGTGAAAGATACTGGAAAGGAAACCAGTATTCATGGATTACGTGAAAGATTTTCATCGTCCCTTGCAATTATGAAAGAAGATTCGAGTGAAAGTGTTGAACAAAATTTGGTTGAAAGTGAAGCACAAAAAACTGAACCACTTAAGAATGTAAGTGATTGTAATGAAGAGAAAGTTCATGGTCCTAAAGATTTAGTCAGCCACATGAGGAACAAGATCTGCAACAGCTATCTAGAGGAGGGGAAAAAGGCTTTGAAGAAACATGTTAGTTATGGGCCAGACAGTGAAGATGGCATCAAGATAATCCAGCAGACAATAGTAAAAGATATTGAACAATTAACGAATCTTCATGGATCACATAAGAATGAGTTGTCTATTACAGTCAAGGAAATGCCAAGTAAAGCTGTTATTCAGGAAACATTAACTACAGGCGAGGTACAAAGAACTGAAATAATTGAGAAATCTCCAAACAGTAATAAAAATTTCAAGACCATTGAAGAACGTGAAATTTTAGTACCGTTTAATAAATATAGCCATGAAAATAAAGAATTTATTGATAAAGTGTATAAAGACCAAAAAACTGAAATCATTAATAACGAAGACCTGAAATGTAAAAACCAAGAAACTGAACCCGCTGGTAAAGAAAAATTAAAACTAAATGAAGATAAAGATATTGAATTTCTTGAAGTAAAAATTTCAAAGGAAAGTAATGAAGTGTGTGGCTCAAATGTGAAATTAGAAACCAAGGATACTAGACAAACATCATCCTGTGTATCAAATGAAATGTTCTTGAATTCTGGGATTAGCAAAAATAATGCTCGAATAATAAACGATTCTTTTGTACATGAAACTAAAATCAAAGGGGTAGATGACAATGTAATTTTGATGCCTAAAATTGACTTGCCAGATAAAGTCAAATTAACTAAAGATAAATTATCAAGGACAATGTTCAACAATAAAGAGGAAAAATATAGCATCAGTCAAAACAAAAATGTAAATGTGTGTGAAACGAATGTGAGATCAAATAATAATAATACCGCTAAGACTGATCTTACAGAAGAAGTACTGAAGAAGGGAAATTCAGAGGAAACTGACAGTGTTGGTGTTTTAGAAGAAAATGAAATAATAGTATCTAATTGTGAAAATGATGGATTTGTTGTTGATTTTCCAGTTATGGAACATCTAATAAAAAGGGAAGATTTCCCACAAAATAGTGTAAATATAAACCCATCAGAAACTACATTAAAGAAACAAGAAGAAAATTTGTCTTGTGTTTCAGGTAAAATATTTGACTCTAATGGTGATATACAGCTTAATAATAGTGATGAAAGAACCATGAGTTTTGAGCCTGTTATAGAAGAATTTGATGGAAGACCTGCTGAAGGAACAGATGAAGCTTATGAAGCAAGTAGTGATGCTTCTGAAAATCCTACACCCAAGGTGAGAAAGAAAACGCGTGCATTACGAAGAAATCTTGTTGCTCATGAAGTTTCACAGGAAGCTTCAGATTCCGATGCATCTACAGTTCAGAGCAGTCGAAGAAGCTGGCTGTCTGAAGTAGCCCTTATTACGCATTTAGAACCAATAGGAAGAGGGAGCAAGGTTTCTCTGGAGACTGGTAATAGTGTATGTGATTTTTCAAATACCAGTCGTGCTTCTCACACTTCATCAGAATCTATTACTGCTGAAACAGAAAACATGATAAGGACTGATTCATTTAATTTAAGGAGCAGTAGTGAATGCTTTAAAAGTAATGAATTGGATAATAAACAAAATATTTCTGATGCAGTAATGCCTGTGACTGAAGTTAGCAGATCAAATACACCATCTTTCAGCTCCACTAGATCTTCAGAATCAATATCAGAATTACCAGTGAATGACATTGTAAAGGATAGAAATATTGAATTACTTAAGGTGGAAGATGCAAGAAAAAGATCCCCCGGCTCTCCAGTAAGAAGATCAAGTAGAATAGCTACCAAGCTGGCAGATCAGCAGAAGCAACGATCCGATAGTACTGTTGAATTCAGCTGTTCCTCGATAGCAACACTTGCTGATGGATCTACTAAGGATGCCGACAACACATGTCTGGACAATGAATATGAAGCTTGTAATTTTGCAATGGAAGAAAAATGTGCAGTAGTTGAAAATGACTCTAATCATCTTTGTTTTGGTTTTGATGGGTTTTCACCTCCTGTAAGTCCAAGAAGTAAACAGGATCAGCCAAGATTTACTAGTGAGGCTGAGAGAAAATTAACAAGCACCCAAAATCATGAGGAATGTGAAGATGACTTTGATGCACAGAATGTGGAGAGAATGAGTAATGTGTTTAGTGGCATGGTGACTGAAATGGATGGTATATTAAGAATTAGTGAAAACAAAATTGCAATTGAACAATTAGATGAAAGAGAAAATAATGTAGAGGACAACGAAATTTTAGATGAAAAAAAAAGTGATACAGAATATTTTGATGAAGATGGAGAAGAGCTGGAGGTGTTGTCTACATCAGGGGCTGAAGAAAGTGAAGACGTTTCATGCTGTCATTCAGCAAGTGTGGGAGGGAGTAACAGTGACAAAACTGGTATCTCGACAACTCGAATAATGCTGCAGTCTCTGTCACGTCAACCTTCATGCAAGAGGGGATCAAAGAAAAGTTTTTCAGATACAAAAAGGGATGATATCCATTTATCCATACCACATTTAGAGGTCCACTGTGTTTCAGAGGCAGTCTTGACTAAAGAAGTTCTTATCAGCCCGGAAGTAAGTGATGAGGAATGTGAATTAGTGTCACCTGGAATTGTTAACGATTCTAGCGAGGCAAAAACTTTTTCTTTACCCGAGCATTTGGCTACTAGCTCTAAAATGATTCCTTCCCCGATAAGCTTATCAACTTGTGACGCAAAAAAGCATAGTGGAGGAATTAGATCTCCACAGAAGGTGATACCAGAAGAGCAAGATGAAAGTACCCTACCTAATAGCAAAGGTGAAACTGTAGTTAAGATGTCTGATGCTCTTAAAACTAAACCTCAGGCTTCCCCAGGTACTGTGTCTTGTTTTAACTCTTATGACAAAAGTATCATCACTGGAAAGTTGCCAAGAGCAATAGTTCTTGTTCAAAAAATGTCTTTATCAAACCATGATGTTCCAAAATCACCAAAAACTTCCATAGGTAAAACTAGCAGTAGTAATCTTGAATCATCAACACTTCATTTGTCTACCAAACATTCTCTGTCTGGTAAGGGTTGCTTACCAGTAGAGAAAAGTTCTCAAGAAAAGTCAACTACTAAAGTAAGTTTAGTAAAGAAATCTAGTTTTGAAGATTTTCACAATAGTGTGAAAGTTGATAATGAAACATCTGCTCACACATTCCGTTTAATCAGAAGTAGCAAGTTAGTGGAGGCATCACCTATTCCTTTTGAAGTGACTGGAGGGTATACTGATCATGTTAATTGTTCTCCAGAAAAACTGCTACTTAGAATTCCTACAGAAGAAAATGATAGTGCTTCAAATAAATTGAGTTTCAGTGAAGAATCTGACTTGAAAAATTCTAAAAGAAGAAGATATGATTCTGAATCTAAAGTTTTGTTAGAAGAGATGATTGTCACTGAAAAAATGACCTACAAACATGATGAAAATGAAAAATTATCCGACAGTTATTTGAAGCAGCATAGGGAGGAAGGGAGGAGTGACCTATCTTCAAGTAATCAGGACAAAAGTCTTATTCATTTTGAAGGCATAGAAGACAAATATGCCCCTAAAAACTCCTTTTCTGACATTTCTGTTTCATCAGCAGGGTTGAGGAGAAGTAAGAGATTGAGGAAAAATGAAGAGATACCTTCATTTGCAGCTAATGTAAGTATTAGTCATACATTTTTTGACTGGCAGTTTTATATAATGTAATTCACATTTTATTTGCTATTTGTATATTTGTGGATTAAAGGTCAAGGGATATTTTCCAGTGGAGGCCTAATCAGAATGTACTGCATTCCATTGTTTTTAATTAAAACAACTTGGAATTTCAGTTAATCCATGGAAACAGCAAAGTTTTCCTTGAGTATATGCTGCTGTTACTGCTCTTCCTTCTCCTTGTCCTCCTCTTCCTCTTCTCTTCATCTTTCTCCTCTTTCCTCTTCCTCCTCTCTCCTCTTTCCTTCCCCTCCCCCTTCCTCAAGGAATATGTTGCTGGTGGGAAAACCGTACTGGGTCATTCCATGTCAGGTGGACCTCTGGCACACTTGACATGGCATGAGCCTGCATACTAAAGTTGTTCTCTTAAAAATAATGGTCCTCATGAAAAAGGTGTTTATTTCTTATATCTAAATCTGCACATTACAGTGAAAGATTATCGGCACTTGTAGCCATGTTTTAAGGTCTTTTGGTACCAGTAGCTTGAAAGATGTTATTTACTTACTTTTTCTTGTTTTTTAATGTTTCAGGATAAGGAGACTATTAGTAATAGCATTGCAGCAGCTCAAAATGAAAAAAAAGCCAGGGAAGAAGAAACCACAGATGCTGCAAGAAAAAGCAATTTTAGTACTCCTACTTCATTGAGGACAGATGAGCTGCCCTCTGAACTTAGCAACTCACTAGTCACAAGGAAAAGATCCCACCTGATGGTCAAGAAGGCAACATGCGGTGTGACGGAATGTTTATCTGCAATAAACGAGCACCAAATATCAGTTGGCCAAGTTATTAAAATTGCATATCCAACAATTGGATCATTTGCACAGTTAACTTCCACCAGAGAGGGGTCACCCAAAGTCATGGCTTCTATGAAAGAAAAATTGCCAGGTCACTTGTCTTTGACAAAGGTGCCACTGGACAGCTCATTCACTTGTGAAGCTGAGACATCATCTACTGGTGGAAATGGGCCAGTTGGAACAACATCAAGCAAACACCATTTTCACATGAAGCCACCCCAGTCAACAGCCCAAGTATGTTCCAAGAAGGATGAATCAGCTCTCACTTTGCTTTTGAAGGGTGGATTACAAGTCACATCCCCTAATATAGTCGGGTCAGCAATCAAATCCCCCATCAAGGCCAGGTCACCATCCAAATCCCCCATCAAGGCCAGGTCACCATCCAAATCCCCCATCAAGGCCAGGTCACCATCCAAATCCCCCATCAAGGTCAGGTCACCATCCAAATCCCTCATCAAGGTCAGGTCATCATCCAAATCCCCCATCAAGGTCAGGTCATCATCCAAATCCCCCATCAAGGTCAGGTCATCATCCAAATCCCCCATCAAGCTCAGGTCATCATCCAAATCCCCCATCAAGGCCAGGTCACCATCCAAATCCCCCATCAAGGTCAGGTCACCATCCAAATCCCCCATCAAGGTCAGGTCACCATCCAAATCCCCCACCAAGGCCAGGTCACCATCCAAATCCCCCATCAAGACCAGGTCACCATCCAAATCCCCCACCAAGACCAGGTCACCATCCAAATCCCCCACCAAGGCCAGGTCACCATCCAAATCCCCCACCAAGGCCAGGTCACCATCCAAATCCCCCATCAAGACCAGGTCACCATCCAAATCCCCCATCAAGGCCAAGTCACCATCCAAATCCCCCATCAAGGCCAGGTCACCTGCCAAATCCCCCATCAAGGTCAGGTCACCTACCAAATCCCCCATCAAGGTCAGGTCACCAACCAAATCCCCCATCAAGGTTAGGTCACCTACCATATCCCCCATTAAAACCAGGTCATCAGTCAAATCCCCTGTAGGGACCAGGTCACCAGTCAAACCTTCCAAAAAGATCAGCTCGCCAGCCAAATTCTCCATCAAGGTCAGTACATTGACCAAATTCCCCAAGGTCAGATCAGCTGAATCTCCCAGGGTGGTCAAGTCACCAGCTGAATCTCCCAAGGTCAGGTCACCAGCTGAATCCCCCAAGAAGGTCAGGTCACCAGCTGAATCTACCAAGGAGGTCAGGTCACCAGCTGAATCTCCCAAGGTCAGGTTGCCAGCTGAATCCCCCGAGGAGGTCAGGTCACCAGCTAAATCCCCCGAGAAGGTCAGGTCACCAGCTGAATCTACCAAGGAGGTCAGGTCACCAGCTGAATCTACCAAGGTCAGGTTGCCAGCTGAATCTCCCAAGGAGGTCAGGTCACCAGCTGAATCCCCTGAGGTGGTCAGGTCACCAGCTGAATCCCCCAAGGAGATTAGGACACCAGTTGAATCCCTTGAGGAGGTCAGGTCACCAGCTGAATCCCCCAAGGAAGTCAGGTCACCAGCTGAATCCCCTGAGGAGGTCCGGCCACCAGCTGAATCCCCCAAGGAGGTCCGGCCACCAGCTGAATCCCTCGAGGAGGTCGAGTCACCAGCTGAATCCTTCGAGGAGGTCAGGTCACCAACTGAATCCCCCAGGGAGGTCAGATCACCAGCTGAATCCCCCAAGGAGGTCAGGTCACCAGCTGAATCCCCCAGGGAGGTCAGATCACCAGCTGAATCCCCCAAGGAGGCCAGGTCACCAGCTGAATCCCCCAAGGAGGTCAGGTCACCAGCTAAATCCCCAAAAGTGGTCAGGTCACCAGCTGAATCCCCAAAGAGATCCCCCAAGAAGAGCCAGTCACCAGTCAAAACCCCCAAGGAGGTTATGTTGCCCAAATCTCCCAATGTCTGGTCACTAGTACAGTCTTCAAGCAAGAATGAGCCTTGTCAAAAATTATCACTGACATCCTCCTTGAGTAAGAATGAATCGCAAATCAAGTCTTTCTGCAGGACACCAGCTAAATCATCTCCCAGTCCAAAGATGCCTCTAGCCAAGTCATCCTCAGAGGAGAATGAAGAACTTTCTACGTCATCCTTTATAAAGAATGAGGCAGTCTTCAGGCAGTGTTTGAGCAAGATTGAATCGCCACCATCCATAATACATTCCAACTCCGAATCTCCCACCGGATCCTCCATGACCATGGATGATTCATCAGTTAATATGCACACAAGAGTGAATGAAACGCCTTCCAGGTCATCTGTAAATGTAATAGAGTCACCCTCCCAGTCACGTTTAAACAAAAATGACTTGCCAGCCTCCAGTAAATCATCTGCAAGTTTGCCTGATCATGAAAAGAATGAGCCAAGTTATGAAGGTAAGGGAATTTGTGATTTCACTGCACTTATGAGAGAGCAACTGGTGTGGGAGATGGTTTTTCTTTTTCCATTTATTCCATTTTTGTTGGGCTCATCGGAGCTTCTGTTATTGTACCTTTTTACCTTTTTGCTCATTTACTGGCTTATTTAAGTATTGTAGTTAAAAGGTTAATAGAGAATGTAGGTTACAAATATTTTGCTTTTTGCACTGCATAGCACTGTATGACCCTTTTGGGTTTAGTTCTTGGTTATGATTATAATAATAATAATCATAAGCTACACTGCATTAAATTGTGTTCATTTGGGATACTTTAAAAAGTATTTTTAATAGCTTCATTTCTAATGTCGAACTATGTAATTTAATAAGATAAAATCACTATCTTGATTAAGGTGTCATACATAATTTAAAAAATGCAGGGTTCAGAAATGTTGTTGGAATTCTTACATTGTAATTTTTAATTTGCTTGCATCCTTTACAGTAGGTTGGAACTAAAGCATTGCTAAGTTAAAAATTTTGTCTTCAGGTGCAGCAGTGGTAACTGGAGTACATTTCTTGCGACGACGCAAAGTGATGTATTTGATGAACTGAAGACTCGGTGTGAAATGAAGCTATACAGTAATCTTTAGTGAAGGGATATTAGATTGACTAGTTTGTTTTAGCTTGTTTGGCATGGATACTAGGACTAATTAAGAAACTGGTATTGAAAGTTAGTTTGCGTAATTTTGATGGACATCGGCCTTGTACTTAAGTCTGGGTAAATAGATCGAAGGTTTTCTTTTGTTGTATATTTATTCATACTTAGTGTATGAATTTCTGGTGAAGCATTACTTACTGTCAGTGGATTTTGTTATTTAATTTTTTGGTCTGTACATATAGAGAAACATTGATTTTTGTATGTTCAGACAGTCAAGTATGTACATACAGTAGTGTATTTACTGTAGTTGTGGAAAACAATTTATTTGTAAGGAGAGTAATATTTGGATCATGATGACAAATATACATTATATATTTTATAAATCCCCCAGAACACAGAATAATTAGTTTAGAATAAGAAGCAGAAGTAGCACAAATAGTTTTTATAATCATTAAATTTTTGCAGAATCGTATATTAGTACTATGTACTGTATTTGCAGTATCAAACATGAACTTTTAAAGATCAGAGTCTGTTTTATATATTTCTTACATTGGATATATTGTAGCTTTGAAGATATTTCAAATTTTGTAAAATGTTGAAGTACACTTTATTTCACATATGTATAATAAAAATGTGAAATTGTGATAGTATTATGTAATATTGTGTATAATATCTACAGTATATTGACTCTCATTTTCTTTTTTACTAATTGTTGTTAAGAGGTTTTGTGAAGTCTTATTGTTTATAATTTGACATTGTTAACCCTTTGACTGTTTCAGGCCCCTCTCTGAAACTGTCATTCTATGTCGCTCAATTTTTGAAAAAAAAAAAATTATTTTTTCTTATGAAATGATAGAGAATCTTTTCCCGATGGTAATGACACCAAAAGTTCGAAATTTGGTCGAAAACTCGTGGAATTATGCTCCCGCGAAGTTAGCGGTCTCGGCGACATATGCGTATCGGCGATTTCGCCGACTTTGAGCCCAATTTTCAGCCAATTCCATTGTTCCAGTTGACCAAACTCATAGCTATTTCTTTAGAACTCCATTTTATCTATCAGCTGAGTACAAGAAACCTCCCATTTACTAATTTGGACTACCCATTATGGTGGTCAGAAATTGGCAATTTGGCCAATTTCACGCAAAATAAAAAAGATGCCAATTTCAAAATAGGGTCCAGAATAAACAAGGTAGACATTCGTGGCACTAAAATAACATATGCTCTGTTCATTAGTCACATCTCTAGGCCCCTCTTATATTATTATTGCTTTCTATTTTGATTTTTTATTCATACAAAATACAAAATTTACTGTTATGCAGACGACTGCATTATTGTAAAAATGGTATAAATAATATCAGTGCACTAGTGAAAGAATATTAGACTCCCCAGTTGACGTGTATTGGACGTGTGGTGTGATTTATGTACTCTTGAACATTGGTAAAAATCGAACATTTCCGCTACTTTGAGCTCAGTTTCAAGGTCGTTTTCATCGTAAAAGTAATGAAAATCATCTCTATTTCTGTAATATGTTTTCCATTTTATCACCTAAGACCAAGAAAACGCGAATACAACGATAAATACTATACGAAAATACACCTCAAAGTCGGCGTTTTATTCCAAAAAAACGATCAGTTTTTTTTTTCTCATTACGCAATGTGTGCTGCAGGATTTTTTTTATGTGGTGCACACTGATCACACAGACCCATGCTCTCACATGTGGGCCTACCAGCTTTCTCCCACTTGATTTGAAGCCGCTAGAATTATTGAGTATATATACGTCAGAAACATTGGCTCGTAAGACGTATTTATACGTCGAAAACAGTCAAAGGGTTAAATTAGACACATTAGAGCCATTCATCTACTATAATTTGACATTGTTGAAGTTTGAGAAAACTATTATTTTCAAGTTTATAAGAAATACTACGGGCCTAAGCTTTTGTAGAATAAAAGTCTTAGTGTTATGTGCTGTCATTACTTTTGTTAACAGAAGATATTTTTTATAATGTACCATTATTTAAATGGCCCATTATAATTTTTGAATGATTAAAGCTTTATAAAATGACAGATATTATTTTTCTTGAGTGGGCAAGTCTTCCATGTCATAATCAGGCTAACATGCAAAATTGTAATGACACCTTTGTAAACTACTCGCAGAATAGATAAGGTTTGAACTATTGGGGAGCCAGTCCTAAAACTAACAGGCTTGTGCTCAAGCCATTATACCACGCCAGCCTAATAATATTTGTTCAGCCAGGTATGTCTCTAAATCCTAGGAAGGTTAGCTAGCTAACCTTCCTTGGATGTAGAAATTTACTTACCTTGATGAATTTTATTAGGTTGGCACAGTACAGTGGTTATAGAACTGACCTGCCATTTTTAGGACTGGATCCCCATGAGTTTGAACCTTATCTCTTCTGTCATAATCAGGATATCACTTATAATTACAACAATGGCTGTGCTAGCAACTGATATTGTAAACAGATCTGTTAGTCTTAACACTGTATCGCATTATTTTAACACTAACTCTGATTACTGTTTTAACATCACAAGATGGCTAGGGTCAATATGATTACTTTTAGTAATGTAAGTGTTGTATGAGCTATACAGGTTTGGCACATTTTTTACAATAATTTAATAACCTAAAGTTAAATATGACTTACCACACTGGAAAAATTCATCTGCAGTGGATATAAAAAATGTATTAAGGGATCGTTTTGACTTGGGTAAAGAAGGTAAAATTTATTGAAGCAGTGTTCAACTAGTGTGTCATTCATGAGGCCTTGATTTTGTCCACATAAGACACTTTCTCCATTTTTTGTATTTTGTACAATGTGTATGTAAATATAATTTTATATATGTTTGCAAATAATTCATGTAGGTAACATTCCTTTTAGTTAAACCACTTCAACATTTAGCATTATTTAGCATTTTTTGCATTGTTTAATTTACTGGCTAAACTCACCATGTACACATTCTTTTTCTTTATGGCCTTGTCTTGCAAGAGATTATTAGCCCTTTCATTTTTAAATATATTAATAATATGGTCTTGTACATAATTTTAGGCAAATAATACTGGTGAGAAAGATAATATGCATTGAGCACTATCATTGTTATTATTAAATAAATAACAAAAAGGCACAATACCATGACTGTTATTATTAATTTAAGATTCCTTGAAGTGATTGCTATTTGGCTTGTTTAGATAAACTCTTTGAATATTGTTGAATACACTTTGTATCATAGCATCATTGATATTTGAAAGCCTTTTCTAAGTATCTTTAAGAAGTAATTGGTAATGTTACTTTGTGAACACCCTGTGTTTAAATTATGTATTCTTACATATACCAAATGTAATTGTATCTGTCACTGTTCAAAAATATCACATTGTGTAGGTTGTTTGTATATTGAATTGGCAAGATAGTAGTATATTCTACCATGGGGTATAGTTACAAATCAAGACACCAATAAATTAGTTAGACTTAGGCTCTTGATTCTTTCATTTTGATTTTTGATTGCCCTCTGTTGAACCAGTGCTCAACTTTGGATTATTTTTTTTGTTATTTTAATGGTTTTCCTTTTATATATAAACTGGCTGTCTCCCACTAATGTATGGTGATCATAAAAAGAAGAAATATAAACTCTTTCACTATGGCTGTTTTGCCAGAGGTGTGTTGACGTTATGTCTCGGATGCCCCTCCAAAATACACTATTCCAACCCTTCCTTCAGAGTGCAGGCACTATACTTACCATCTCCAGGACTCAAGCCTGGCTAACTGGTTTTCCTGAATCCCTTCATAAATATTATTTTGCTTACACTGCAATAGCAGTCATAAAAACCACTTGCCTCTACTCACTCCTGTCTAACATGCTTGCACATGCCTGTTGGATGTCCAAGCCCCCTCACACCAAGGGGCCTTTTGTACCCTTTGGTACATTGAGAGTTAGGATGAGTATAAGGTTCAGCCTTACTGAATCACTAACTCTCAAGTTGTCTCTCTGACACACTGACAGAATTTTTCACTTGTAGCAGCTTAGTGCTCCATATTTCTGGTCTCCCATGCAACACCAGATCCTCCTGTTCTGTTTCCTTGTGGTTAAAGTCTCCCAGGATCAGTAGTTTTGCACTGCTTGTGTGGGTCATGCTAGCCACTTGTTTTACATCGCTATCACTACCTTGGGTTTTCCTGTTCTGAGTGTGCCTGCTATGTAGATATATGATTCAAAATTATACTGGTTTCTGATTAGTAATGCTGCTACTCCACCTCCCATGTTCCCTCTGCCCTTTTGTCATTTTTTATATCCTCCTGTCTGTGTAGGTTGTGGTGAAAATTTGTATTAAAATATTGCAGATATCTTGAGTAAACAAATTTTTAGATAGTTTAGTTCCTTACTTGCATAATGAGGTAATGATTTGCCAGTTGCATATTTTCAGTTCAAGACTTATTACCATTGAAGAAAAACTAAAGTTTTATGTAGTTCATGTTGGATATGTAAAAACAAATGTTAATGGGTAACCCAAACCAGATTTATTTTCTACAAAAAACATGGTGTGTATTTTCCTGTTACAGTAAGGAAATCTTGCTGATATCTAAATATGTCAAAGTTTACTTCAATTATTTTTTTTTTAAACCCTTTCAGGGTTTCGGCCGTACTAGTACGGCTTACGCACCAGGGTTTTTGACATACTAGTACGCCTAAATTCTAGCGCCCTCGTATCTAGTGAGAGAAAGCTGGTAGGCCTACATATGAAAGAATGGGTCTATGTGGTCAGTGTGCGCAGTATAAAAAAAATCCTGCAGCACACAGTGCGTAATGAGAAAACAAAAACTGACCGTGTTTTGGGATTAACCCTTTCAGGGTCCGTCCCATAGATCTACGGCTTTATGTTCAGGGTTCAAACCGTAGATCTACGCCAAAATTCTAGCGCCGTCAAATTTAGTGAGAAGGCTGGTAGGCCTACATCTGAGAGAATGGGTCTGGGTGGTCAGTGTGCACACTATAGAAAAAATCTGAATGCCGGCAAAGTAGCTTTGTTCATCTTGTTCATCGTGCCTTGCAGCAAGGAAGCTCTCACTCCCCACTCACTCTCTGGGTGAATTCTGACTCTCCTCTTCACAACTTACAGTTCTAAGACTGATGGAAGTGGAGCTGAAGACAAATTCAACGGTTTTGAGCCATGTGGTACAATGGTGCCATGTCATACAAAGGTATCATATGTACAATGGTACCATATGGCACAATGTACCATATAGTACATTGTACCATATGGTGCATGTGTGTGTGTGTGTGTGTGTGTGTGTGTGTGTTTGTCCGTCGATTCGACGAGGGCCATCTAGTCATCCTGGGGTCGAAGTTGGTGGGTACGCAGATGACTTGTCAGGCCAATACGCGCACGAAACGTTCTCTGGCAGTGTGGACAGGGAAGGGTGGCGGCATCAAGGGGTCTGATGGCTCTGGTCTTCCTCGCCTGCCTGCGCTGCTCAGCTAGTGAGATTCTGCTTGCCTCGCAGGATGTTGCCCCTTTCTGGACAACTGCTCACCAGTCATTCCTGTCCTGAGCTATCAGCTCCCACATGGTGTGGTTGATGTTGAAAGCTTTCAGAGCAGTCTTAAGGGTGTCCTTATAGCGCTTCTTTTGGCCTCTTTGAGAGCGCTTTCCATGCTGCAGTTCGCCAAACAAAAGTTTCTTTGGCAGCCGGTGGTCTGGCATGCGAGCAACGTGACCTGCCCAGCGAAGCTGTGTCTGCATTAGGATGGTGTAGATGCTAGGCAGGCCAGCTGTAGTCAGCACTTCTGTGTCTGGGATCTTATCTTGCCATTTGATGCCAAGAATTTTTCTGAGCCGTGTGGTGTGAAAGTGGTTCAACTTTCTGGCGTGACGTTTGTAGACAGTCCAGGTTTCGCAGCCATAGAGAAGTGTGGTTAGGACTATGGCTCTGTACACCTTGATCTTGGTGCTTGTGGTGATGCCTCTTCGGTTCCATACATTCTTGTGGAGCCTGCTGAAGGTGGCACTGGCTTTGGCAAGTCTGGCATTCACCTCATCATCGATGACAACGTTTCTGGAAAGGGTACTGCCGAGGTAGGTGAATTTGTCTACGGCGTTCAGTCGCTGCCCGTTGATGGTGATGTTTGGCTCAACATACGTCTTTCTTGGAGCAGGCTGGTGCATCACTTCAGTCTTCGTTGTACTGATTGTCAGCCTGAAGTTGTTGCAGGCGTCAGAGAACTTGTCAACACTGTGCTGCATGGCGGCTTCTGAAGCAGCGTTGAGGGCGCAGTCATCAGCAAATAGCAGGTCATTGATGGTGTCGGTTGCAGCCTTGGTTTTTGCTTGAAGCCTCCTGAGGTTGAAGACAGACCCATCTGTACGGTACCTGATGCCGATTCCTGCGTCTGTGTCCCTGAATGCGTCTGTAAGCATGGCCGAGAACATCAGGCTGAACAGGGTGGGAGCAAGCACGCAGCCTTGTTTCACTCCATTTGAGACTGGGAATGGTTTAGACGTCTCTCCATTGTCTTGGACTCTGGCCAGCATTCCATCGTGAAGTTGGCGTACGATGGCGATAAACGTCTTTGGGCAGCCGTACTTTGCCATGATTCTCCAAAGGCCCTCTCTACTAACGGTGTCGAAGGCCTTGGTCAAATCGACATAGGTGGAGTACAAGTCAGCGTTCTGTTCCTGACATTTCTCCTGTAGCTGTCTAGCAGCGAACACCATGTCGATAGTCCCTCAATCTTTCCGGGAGTCCATGCTCTAGATGTTCATTGAGCCGACTGAGTAGAACTCTAGCCAGGGTTTTGCCTGCGATGGAGAGCAGGGAGATACCACAGTGGTTGTCGCATATGGTACAGGGTACAGGGACCCTAATGGAAATAAGTCTGTCTGACTTTTTTGGGTTATCCTAAGTTCTCCAAACATATGCTGCTAAGTATGATATTCTATGGAACTTTATTTGTGTATACCTAAATAAACTTACTTATGATGCCACACACACTTGAGTAAGTTTATTCAGGTGTACAGAAATACAATTACATAGATTATCATACATAGCAGCATACATATAAAATCCTAGGATAACCCAAAAAAGTCAGGGTGACTTATTTCCATAGTTATCCCTGTATCTGTACCATATGGTGTCCTGTACTGTATGGTACCCTGTATTGTATGGTACCCTGTGCCATATGGTACCCTCCAGTTTCCGAGACAAAGTGCTTTGTCATCCACCTCAAGGAACATGTCAAGTTCCTGTACACTTGTAAATATATAATAGAACATTAATATACAACATTTTTGCATATTTTTGTTGTAAACAACTTTATAAAAAAAATAATGAAAATATTAGTGTGTTATTGTGTTGAATACAACAGTACCATATAGTACCATACAGTACAATGAACCATATGGTATCATTGTACTGTATGGTACAATGTACCATATAGTACCATTGCACCATATGGTACCATTGTATCATATGGTATCATTGTACCAAATGGTGCCATTGTACCAAATGGTGCCATTGTACCATATGGTACCATTGTATCATATGGTACCATTGTATCATGTGCCATTGTATCATATGGTACCATTGTATTGTGCCATTGTACCATATGGTACCATTGCACCTCATGGCACCATTGTACCATATGGCACTATATGGTACTGTTGTATTCAACACAACCGCGCTAATATTTTCATCATTTTGTTTACAATAAACTTGTAAACAAGTTTTGTAAGCAATATAATAATAAACAAATTAGTGCAGTTATTGTGTTGAATACAATGAGTGTACACTAATACAATATACTGGTCTCACAGGCCACAAATGTTATTAGAAAAAGAAAAAAATTGAAAAGAAAAAAGTATAAAAAATGTAAAATAAAAAAAATGGGATTTTGCAGAAGTCATTGATGTTGCTGCCACCTGGTCATTTTGGGTCAACTTCCCGCCGCTGTATCTTGGTAAGTACTGATCAGAATTTTTTTTATTACCTTCACAAAAATATTATCTTTAATTCTGTAAGAAAAAATATTTTTTTTTTTTTTCAAAATTTCTTGGAGACTGGGGCACCACTTAAGATTTTGGCCTTGGACCCTGAAAGGGTTAAAACAGCGACTTTGCACTGTATTTTCGTATGGTA